AAAATTAAACAATCTTTGAAGGTTGCTGCGTCGACACCCTTTCAGTGGCTGCCATAGAGGGATATGCTTAGCATCTCATTGACCCGTGGCAGCCGCAAAAGGAGGAGAAAGGAGCTCTCAGTGTCAGCTAATCAGTTTAAAACGCTGTCACCCCGAACTCGCCTATCTTGTCTCCCAATCCCGTCCCAGGGAAATGGGTCCCCGAAAGTGTGTGGGTTGCGGCGCATTTTAATTTGTAATACGAGTCGAAATTGGGTGTAACTTAGACACGCTGCCATGCGATTCGGGTGCGGATTACATCCAACTAGCTCCCGGCTGATCTGACGCTCTGGAAGTGTCACCTGGAGTCGGAATCTCAGTCAAAATCTGAGCCAAGAGCTGGCGAAGATGTGAGACGGATCAAACCGCAGACACATGTGTGAAAGTGTGACTAAGTAGCTGCCTGAGAAAATTTTGACAAGAGAATGAAGAGGGTTGAGCTTCTATCTAAGCATGTTTTTCACGCATTCAGGACATTTTTGAAAATATTTGGGGTTTCTTAGGGGTCACCAGATAATTCAGTGGACCCGAAAAGAACAACTACAAAATTCCTTAAAAATTATTTCATTTATTTTTATTTAGGACACTAAACACATTTATTATTCCCGAAAAAACACGTTCTAAGTTTTCTATAAAACTAAATTATAAGATTTATGATTATCGATTATTTACATTATATTTAAATTTACCAGAAAATGACTATATAAGGTAAAAAAGTTGGAAAATAAATATTTTTAAATTTAATTTAGTAATTATTTAGCATTTGCTGATCATTTTTTCATTATTTCTTCTACTTACTCTACCTCAACAGTTCAACCAACAATTTTTAATTATTTTATTGGGAATTTTCTCTTGAACTAAATTAAAATCTTTCTTGTTCCACATTAATCAGTGCTAACTGATAATTTCTTTATCCTTTGCACTTCCCATCAATTTTCTTGACCTCTCATTGCTTCCACTTAAAAAACAAAAAAAAAAAAGTCAAATCGAACAATCCGCAAATTGCTTCCCATGGCAGGGAGTTGGTAATCTCTCGATTATGCCATTGCCAAATCCAGCAACTTTAATGACAAACCCAATTTACCAGCGACAGGACAATAAATCACTGGCAAAATGACGCTGTCAAAGACCGAGTGACAAGGAGGAAAACAGAGCAGAAAAAACAGTGAACCAGCAAACAGGACGATAAAAACAATGCCACAAAACAATTTCCCAAGGAGTTGGCAGCTGGGATGTCGGATGTAGGATGTAGGATGTCGGATGTGGGATGTCGGATGTGGAGCTCATCCGCATGCTGACCAACATGCCGGTGGCGTCATCGTAATACGAGCACTCCCCCATCGAAGGACCCTCAAGGATAACGCCACCACACATTGATAAAGGTGTGGAAACGTGCGATTTTGTAATTGATACTAAAAAGCCCTTAATTGGCACCTTAACGCTACTGATGCTCTGACAAATTTCCCCCAAGGACCAGTGACGAGGGCCGTTCCTGGCGTTGACATGCGTGGGTTGCCCAAGGACACAGTTTGGGGGTGGCCCAGGATGTGGACGTGGGTCGGAGGTAATCGGATGCCTCTTAGGAAATGGAGATGCCGCAATCAAAGGCGTCTAAAATCGGTGTCACATTATGCGGCATAATCAACGTCGGAATCATAATCATCATTATGATGATTAGTTGGACCAGGCGAAAGACTATACTCCCGTGTAGAGCCCACACAATGTGCTTCTTGGTGGTGGATGAATTTTGGCCAATGAAGCCACTTACTGACCAATAATCGTTTACCTAAGCTGCCAAGGGATTAGCTCCAAATATTGCTATAATATACCTTAAATTGGTAGTAACTACATTAAATATTTATTAACAATTATCTTAATAAAATCTTTTTTGTTTGTAATTGATTAACTTTCAAAGAAATTTCGCACTGTGCATCCATGTCATGTGACCATGTGGAATATCCAATGCCTGCGAAACCAAAACAAATGGCCCTAATCCATAATTTTCTGGCCGTTGGTCAAGTGGGACTTGAGCCAATAAATCTCATCAAACTAATACGATACGTTGGACGGCCAGGAAGTCCTCGGGAAAGTGCAGCAGGAGCAGGAGCGGGAGCAGGATCAAGAGCAGCCACCCTTGTGGTTTTCGATACTTGTTTGCCAGCCTGTTGTCATTTGTTAACATTTCATTACATTTATTTCACCGGACACAATTGCCAAGTGGATGAATGGATTTGCCGTTTGATGTCGCCTCGAGGATGAGTCCTCTTCATTCGCATCCACATCATCCTGAACACCCACCACCCATTGGCGAATTTATCTGCTTGTGCGAGTACTTATTTGCTCTCAAACCAATTTGTTTTATAATTGAATTTGAAATTGAAGATGACATTCGGTTTCCGATTGTTTGGCGTGTGGTGCAATAGCCACAGGCCACGCTCCGCCCCCCCGGTTCGGAACCGGAAACGCCCCTCGCTGACCTGACCTCAGCTGTCTATGTGTTTAGGTTTTAGGTAATTGTATGCAGAGATTGCCGGCGTATGTGAGCTTGACCAGAAATTCAATTATGTATAAAATTTCACAACCATTTTCGGGATGACTTTCCGAAAAACTCAATTTTCTATTTAATTTGCTTTCAAGTGTCATGGTGGTTTCTGGTCTATAGACCTGGTCATAGGCATAGGCAGTAGGTCATAGACCGAAGTGCCAACTAGCCCAGAAACACAAAGACACACACTAACATATGTGTGCACTTTGACCTCGAGGTGATTCGCATCTGCAAATATTGTTTGGCACGCCGAGCGGTTTTGGATTTTATTCATGCATCATTTGATTTTGCGGCTATTTCGATTGATTTATTCGCATTACCATTCGGACTGCTCTATAAATTTTGTATATTTATTTCGCTGCGAAAGTGGCATGCATTTATTTTAATCGGTTTAACAGCTCGGCGCGGGTCAAGGTGCTACAATATCAATTAACGGGAGCAAAAGTTCATTTCTGGTCAACCAATTTGAATAGGGGTTTCTTTGCTGTATGTTTAAATTATATAAAGCATATATTTTCTTGAAATGCAACGAGTTGAATTAGACGTATGTCCATCTCAATCTGGTAGCTTCAAAATATTTTTAAAAAAATTTAATTTTATTGCGAAGCTGGATCAACAGGATCAAACAATTATATCATACAGCTCTGTTAGTAAGAACCATCAATAAATAAATTTATATTTGGAAACTGTCAGTTATTCGACCCTTTTAAAACTCTGATGACAATGTTAATAATTTTTTTCCAAGTGTAAAAAATAATAAATTAGGAATATATTTCCCCTAGAATATAAAAGGTTCGTTTTAAATCAATTCAATTACTTCGAATATTTAAATTTCTTAAACTAAAACTATAATTTGCTTTAAAAACACTTTTCATTACCGAACATATCGGCGAAATCTTTACGACTAATTTTATTTGTAGTAACTTCCAAATGAATTCGCACCATACAAGTTCCTATCTCAACATCGGGATAAATCCGAAATTAAAGGACCATCAAGTGCATCGAGGTACGAGTACAGAGTTACTGGACCCCGGATTCCATGTCTCAGCCCCAGACAGACACCAAATTAGCATACATGCCATAAAGCAAATTTGATTTCTATCACCGACCACCCAAAACCAGACCCACAGAATCGGGGCGAGGCACTCAGCTGTGCGGCAAGCACTTAACCCGCTTTTAGCAATAAAATTAACTTTCCATAGAGGTTCGGGATGCAGGGAGTCTCACTGGGCATCATTGGCATCACGTACAAGTCGAACGTATAGGAAATTAATGGTTTAAGGCAAAAGTGTTTAACGAAATTGGCCAGGGGATGGGATGGCACGGGGATGGGAGTTATAAGGCGACACACATGCACACCAAATACCATGTAGCCTACTCCAAGAGGCAGTAAATCCTCCGACTATCTCCGCATTTCACTTTATTGGCGCATAAAAACCGAGTCAAACCGAAACGAATACGGAGAAAGGAAAAACAGCAAAGGGAAAGGCATCCCAGATCAGTCTGCGTCCGTCCGCCGGCAGTCCTCCCATCCGCCCATTCGACTATCCGACCATGGAAGCCGGACGGGTCTGGTGGCGTTGGTTCAATTTGAAAGGGAAGCTGTGCTTAAGAAGGCGTGTAATTGAAACATTCAAAAGACAATTTCCAAGTCTTAGCACAGACACACTTAATGGACGCAAAAGACATGGACAAAGTTAAGAAGTGAAATGCGAAAGAAAAATGCCAGGGATCTCCTCGGGAGGCACTGCATCCTGGCTCGGGCGGGTTGGTTGTGGGTCAATCAGCCGTGACTGGGGGTCAAATGGATTGGCATGAAATATTCCAACGTATTTCCCACCCAGCTGACACCCACATCCCCGTCATCTTTCCCATTCATCCTTTTCTGTTTCCGTTTTCCATTTTCCTAGGTAGACAATGCGTACGTTAATTAAACAAACAGCCAATAAGATTGATGGCACTTTGATTGAATAACAATTGATGCAACTGTGCGTACACATTAGCATGATATTGGACGAAAGAGTCCTGGTCATCAGAGGAGCAACAGCATCAGCGTGTGCCCCTTATCAGCTGGCGGGCCAAAAGTTCCCGAGGAGTTCGACCAAAGTTCGCATAAATAAAGGCCAATATCAATAGAGACACTTGTGTGTATGTGTAAGCTGATTGACAGCATTACAGGGTCCGTTTCAGTGGTGTTTTAATGGATTTTTGATTTCCTCCTGGCATGGGGTTTTTAGTGGTTGCTGCCGCCGGGTTGCTTCCGCCATTTTTTGCTTCCTCTTTTATCGCTTATGTAAACAAGCCACATCTAACAACGGGACACCACTTGACACTGACATGTTGCGTTTTGATAGGTTGCCAAGTCAAAAATTATTCCCATCCAAGCATGGCTCGTGTTTGGTCCACACAAATCACATTTTAAGCATTGAAACACGTATATTTATATTTCATATATTCGGTGGCGCATACATAGTTCTAATTGTATTACGTTTACATAAAATATTCCTCTATTTACAAACACACTACAAATAGTATATTATCGAACGATTTCCAAGCTTAAATATTGTGTTTCTATAACCCTTTGAATATTCGTTGAATTCTTTTGAAATCCTCTTGCCTAGTTTACTATTTGGTTTTTAATTTCTAGCCAAAAAATGGGTTTGTTTGGTTTTTTGGTGTGGCGTGTAAAAAATTGGCAGCCGCCAAGTCTTTTGTTTGTCTTGTTCTTTTGTGGTTTCGTGTTTTTCAGTTCACCAACCTGATGTATATACGTATAACTGTTTCATAAGCCGAGTGCAGAAGTTCTTCCTACTAATACTAAACTCTATAACTAAGCATATCTGCCGAAGCTGAGTGCTAAGAGTAATACAAGCACCTTATCACAGGACAACAAGATTGAAGTTTATGAAATATAAAGGCTTTTATTATTAAAAAAAAACAAAGCACAACTTTAAATTTTATTAGTGAGTGTTCCCATTCGAAAATAACTATTTATCAAATTTGAATACTTTTAAATAAGTTATTTAAACGAAGGATACAAAATGTACCTTTTCAGATAATAAATAGGACATGGGGACGATTTTTGACGTAAAATGAATACGTATCTTAAAATGTTTATATTTTGCAGAAATTGAATTCAAATCATAACTATTTTACTTTAGATATATAAGGAAAATATATATCATCAAATCTAATACATTAATTTAAAAAAAAATATCAGCTGCGAGAAATAATGAAAATCTGATTTTAGTTTTCTTTAAAATACGCATTAAAGCCTTGTTGTCCAGTGTAATTTGGCAAAACCTATTTTTGGTTAGCTTATAGACACAAAAATTATATAAACTCACTACAGCTTGGTGCTATAACAATCACAAATACGGCGTATACTACAATAATAATAATATAATAATTTATAATATGAGAACATTTAAGTCGTTGCGAATTCCCAAACGTTGTTTCCCTAATATAACATTAATGGAAGTGCCTCGTACAACAAGAAGAACGTTTAGAATTTTCTTGCGTTCTGTTTCAAAATATACGTATATATCACTTGCACTAATTAGTTAAAAAGTGTGGAGCTTTTGGTATTGCTTGCATATAGACCCTCTTACAGGGCAATCAACTTGGTTTTGCACTTCTCGGCCTCCCATAGCTCCAGCAGATGATCCCGTGAGCTGGGTCCGTGCTCAGGGGGAGTATTCTCGCCGGAAAGACTGGTAGGTGAGAGAACACCCGTCTGCAGGAATGGAATAGTAAGTAAGAAACACAAAAATTTAATATTCACATTTACTTTACCTTAGTAGCTATCTTTCGCGGATCTAGGTTCAGACCAATGTTTTTGGCCAACTTAGAGAGCGGGCTGGTGAGCTGCTTCAGCTTGTTGGCCTCGGGCTGGGTGGGCAAGCCCAAAGGAAGGCTGAGATCTCTGGTCGATGTACTGAAATCGCGTCAGGCAAATCGTTACAGTACAAACACGGCTTAGATTTAGCAAAATATTTTTATTTTGAGCGATTGGAATTGGCCAGAAACAGCCCGAGTGTATGTGGTATGGAGCAGGCACTGATTATTCGGTTTTTGTACAATAATACATGCTAGTCTTAGGTATTTATTATAAAGATAGAACACATTGAACGCATAGAGGGATCATAATAATACTTTGAGCTTGAAGAGATAAAAACTGACCATTGTTTTACATTAACACATATACAATATTCACTACAAATAAATTGGCTAATTAACAACATAAGACAAAACACAAAGCTCTAACCCATAATAAGTCTACAACCAAATATTATTTGTAGAATACAGACCTGGACACAGGCTTCACCACTTCTTCCCCGTCGTCAAATACTTCCTGAGCTTGTACACAGATTAACGGGTTGGGTGTGATAGGGCGAATGGGAGGTGCATTTTCGAGAAGGCCCGTAGGTAGACCAACGTGGTCCGTCACGGAGGTTATGGAAATGGTAAGTACATCCTCAGCAGTCTTGCACATGCTATCCTTCTGCTCCAACTGTCGTATTTCATCAGATGAACTTGGCGAGTCTTCCTTCTGATTTCCCATAACAATGCCCACCGATGGCAAAAAAGCGTTCTCGTTATAGTTGGACTTGTCCAGAGCTATCTCCACATCGGAATCCACTTCGGGCTCGTACAAACTGTTGTCGTGCTCATCGGTGTCGGTGCTGCTGGCGCTGTTCGAGTTTCTCTGCTTGCGGCCAAGTGTAAAGACTGCCTTTTCCGCCTCTTGACCAGATTCAATTTCGTTGCCCCCAGTCTGACGCATTACTTGGGGATTAATGGTGGCTGTCAAGCTGCTGGGATGAGCTTGTTGTTGGCTGGCGCTTGATGGCTTCTTAAAGGTCTGGCCAAGTTTCGAGAACTGTCCCGCCACATTCGAAAGAGCCTTAGAGCTAAACTGCACTAACTGAGATTCGGAAAGATTGCGTGGCATGCCTCTGGGAACGTCGAGTGTAGGCAATTTGCTCTTTCTTCGCTGCAATACACCTCCTGTAACATATCGAACGTCTGCATTACCGGCATTATCCAGTGCAATTCGGAACATCTCGACAATTGAGCTAAGGGATTCGGTAAGCTCCTCCTGTGTCTTGATCACATAAGCCATGTTGTTAAAGAATCTCAGATTGGCCGAGCGGAACATGTGGAAGTAGCCCTCCTGCTCGTCCACGCTGTAGTTAAGACGCAGGCAGAGATGCGCTGGAGCGGATCCTTGGAAAATTTTCGTCTGCTGATGCATGCCCAACTCTATGAGGCGCACTTGCGCAAGTTGCACCTTCTCGAAGCGGACGATCTTGTCCAGATGCGAGTCATATTCAGCGACAATATAGCAGTCGTCGGTAAGCAAAAGTATAGAATCTACCTCTGTTTCGTTGGCATCGCCAGAGCTGATCGAAAAAAATTGTATCTTAATATACATAAATGACTGCAAAATACATTATACTAACTAACCTTGGGTCAGCATCAATTAGTCCCCAAGCTCCAACGGGATACTGAGCTGTTCCTAGGAGCAGGCGACGACAATCCTCCACCAGCAACTTGGCATGCTCAGCATTTTCGGTTCCATCGCTTTCATCCGGGCCAGCCTGGCCGCCCAAAGCACTAAGTGATTCGGAGGAGACTTGGTTGCCTAGCATCAGATCTATGGTGGCCTGGCGGTAAGAGTCCTTAAATCGTGCCAAGTAATAGCTGAAAGTTAAAAAAGCTTATTAATAAAGAGCCTTTTAACTATCGTTTAAATAATAAGCAGATGTGAGAGTGAATGGAAAGGATAAGTCTTAATAATGGAAAGAGTACCTTTTGTGAAATAAGAATTAAAGGATATATAACAATTGAAGCAACTAAAAACTTGAAATGTCTGGGCTCGCTTGCTTGGCCATCTACTCCATCTTGGCATCTCCTCTGAGCTGCGCACCTGTTCACAACGATGGATTCGAGTAACTGCAGTTCGGGGCCCAGCACACCGGGATTATAATAGCCCCCAAGTGGGGGACGGGTCTCTGGAGTGAGGATCTGGAGAATGGTGTTCAGGACCTGGTCCTCCTGCAATTCTTCTGGCCTCAGCAACTGACCCTGCATCAGATCGATGATGCACTGACGAAACGAGTCGGCAAAGTTTTGTATGAAAAAGCTACGAAGAAGTTGGGCACAGCATTAGCTACGGGTCTGTGCATCGTTATAAGGTTATGTTGTTAGAAAGGTAGTCCCATTTGGGTTTTGAATTTGGACAGAAAACAATCTTGTACTCATTAAGTTGGTTAAGATATGTGAAAACAGGCATGCAGCATTAGTAAAATTATATGAATACAATCCAAAATCGATTTAGAAAAAGTTGATGGCATAACGAGGCTTTTGGCTATTAGTATTGATTGATTGAACTTCTAATTACCCAAAATGAACGTAAGATTTTTCGGTGGCCAAGACTATTCTAATTTGTATAATGAAAAGAGACTTTAAGGTGGAATGTGAGGGTGATATGTTGATTAATCACGGTAATGATAATGAAACAAAGTTAAGATCAGCAAAATATACAGAAAATTATAGGTATTTAAAAATTAAATACAAACCGATTGGCCGAGTTCATGCCGTCTTTCATCATGCCGCTAATTTTGCGTTCGCCGGTGCGAGTATAGTCTCCCTATAGTAAAATATGATTAGTACAAAATCGTGTTTAATCCTTGCTTATCTACCTTCAAGGCATTGGTGCCCGCGTACTGTCGACTTATGATGTCCCCATTGTTTGCCCATAACACCATAAACGGAGACTTCAATTGTTCCGGAATGGGAGTATAGGGCGGCGAAAGACCTAGTTTTACTAGTTGAGATTCAAGCACTGCCTTGCCAATTGCCGTTTGAACTACATTTGTTCGATCCAGGCAGTCCATGCAATTAACTCGAAATACAGACTTCTGGTTGCATATCATTCCTCGTTGATCTCGCCAGTGGAAACCCATTGCGCCTGCCTCAGGTCCCACTGCATCGATCAGGGCCGAAACATTTTCAAAACGCATGCCGCGACTAAAAGATAAAGTAAGAAGCGTTCCTTATTTAAATATCTTATAAATTAATGACGATGGCAAGCTTACCAGTAATCGTGAAAGTCGAAAGTCACATATATCATTCGCTCATTGTTAAATTTGATCACGTGATCGGCATAGGCATCTCCAATAGTCTTCTCCTTTCCGCTCTGTTCCACTAGATTGACAATGCAAACACGGCCGTAGGTCTCCAACTCCTTGGTAAAATGTAGTTCAAAGGCCTGTTGGGTCTCAGCCACCCCACGATCGAGGCGTGGCGGAGGGCGGTACTTGTAGCCTGGCTGGCTCCAGTAGATAGGTACGGAGCCACGCACTTGGGTAAAGGACAACTGATGGTGTCGGAATGATAGTATTTGTTCCGTCTCCACATAATTTGCACAGTTTCCTTTCTCGTCTACTCCACGTCGCTTGTAGCTGTTGGTAAAAAGTATAATATTGTATTATCTGAAACGGGACTCATAAGTTAAACAGACTTACCGTGTTCCTGCACGGTGACGAGATCTTCGCGATACCAAAGCCAAGGTAAAGCACTCGTTGCCTATGACACAATTCTCAACTTGCATAAAGCCTTGAATGATGGGCAGTATCCATGTTTTATCCTGCATTAAAAATACGATAAAGATTTTCTTTTTTAACTTTCTGGCTACTCACATTTAAGTTAATCAAATCTCGTATCATGTGCATGTTCCAAAAGAATCTCTCATCTGGTTGTGACTGATTATCTTCCAATTTGGCCTCATGGCGCTGCAGATTGTTTGTTATGTCGCAGTCGAAGCTGAAATAGAAGCTATCCGTCTCGTCGAATATCTTGTGCAGCTCCTCTGTGATTCGCCGCTCGATATGCCTGGGCTCCCGAATGCCAACCGATGACTTAACCTGCTTGGTGGCCAAATTCGCCGCTTGCTGTGTGGTGTTCTTGATGGTGTTCCCAGCACTTTTGACTGCTCCCCATGTCTTGTTCATGCCCTCGAATAGCTTGGTGCTCTTTGAGGAGCCACCGCCACTTGACGGAACGCTGGCATTGTTATTGTTTGAGGTGGAGACGCTGTGGGTAGGCGTGGATTGGTTGCTCCTTGTTGGAAAAAAGAAAATTAATTATTAAAAAATTCGAATAAGTTATTTATGTGACTTACTTGGAGTGCTTGGTGCAGTTGGGCAATTCAGTGTCCGGCTCCTCGGCACTCAATATGCATATAGACTTGATTTTGTAAACCAAGTGGGGTGGATATAGCACACCCACTGCGGTTGCCTCTTTGACCACAACTAAATGGGGCTCATAGACATTGGGTAGCGAGATCACGCCCACAATTCCGTGCGTTACTCCAATGCACTCTATGTCATCCACAGAGCTAAGATCCCATCCTGGAATTTAAGAAAAATTGGTCAATGAACCTCTTTTTAATAACTTCTTAGTACTGAGTTCTAAGTTTAGTATTGTTATAAAAATAAGTTAATTTAAAGGTACACGTTTACTCCCCCAATATTGCTTCATAATGACAATGTTCGCGTTCGTTAGGCTTTATAGGTATTTGATTAGTATACGCCCCCTGGATAAACCAATCTTCCACAACAAACAAGTACCAAATCAGGTTCAAATAACTGGAACATTACTAGTAAAGGGAGGTCGCAATGACCGCCGACTAATGATGGTTGCCCTTAAATGCCAAAGCCTGTAATTTCAGGTTACATATTTGCATCTGGGGCGTTGCGTGTGGAATTATTTACCCTTGGGTTTGCAGCAACTGCTCATTACTGTGCACTAACTCTGAAAGCCACCCAGACCACCCACCACTTTTACAGCTAAAAACAGCAATGTGCAGTTGCACTTTACGTGCCATCTACGTGCATCCTTGGGAATTCTTTATGATGCGGACGGAAGGTCGGTGGCACGATTTCAAAGTTGCTCGAACCCTTTAAAGTCTAATCTTATCCAGCTGTTGGGTTTATCTGGTTTTCGTAGTAGAGATAACACCACCGAAAACGGTGTGGAAATTATTACTACGGATGGCTGTAAAATCGATAGAAAAGTGTTGGCCCTTATAAATTATGTCAAGTTCTTTTTTGGTCGGGAAACCGCTTTTCATTGTGTGGACAAACGTTTTCGGCAAACAACGAAAATTGACGTGCGTAGCAGCTGCGTTGACCTTGGCAAAGATTTATAGTCTGCGAATGGGTCAGGGGTCACGCAGCAGATGAGTCATGGAAAACAAAAAATGACCATCCCAAAGGATTTAGTCACTCGGAGGAGATATAAAGCTGTCCGAATCCATTAATGGCGACCGGTTGCGTGTCAGCAAATTGATCCAAATGTAATTGCTGCGCAATAAACAAGCAATTAACGGTTGCCCACACAGTTATTGTCTGCTGATTGTTAAAACTATAGGAATTATTAATAGAAATAGCAGGTTGTCAATTTAGTAGAGAAAGTACATGTCAAAAATGTGTTCTGATAGGAAATAGGGCTTTTGATTGGTTGTCGGCTTATACATTGTGTGTTTTAAAAGGTTTTCATAGTTACATTTTAACGGATATGTGAAATGTCATGTATATATTGTAATAAATTTATATTTGTGAGGATATTGTGTGGATATATCATAAAAGAAATATAGTCTGTTTAATAAAAACATTGACATTTTAACTTTAGCTTTATAGCGTAATCTTACTAAACAAAGTCTGATAAATTTACCAGAGAACTTTATTGTCATACATGAGGAAAAAGAAAATGTATTAGTAATTCATTTGGATTGCGTTTCGAATAAACCCGCTTTCCGGGATTAATCATGCATCATTTATCTTTAAAGGCTTGCGCCCTTGAAATCCGGGTAGAACACAGCACATACACACTCAAAACAAACACTACATTTTTTCAGGAAGCTGCAATTACCCGTTTTAAACTATATGATATATCATCTGTCTGAATGAACCCAATAACAATATTGACCTCAGATTGTTAAATAAACAATGAACATTGCGACACCCACACACAAAGGCACAAGTGATTCATTAGAATTGACTTTTGGGACCTTTAATTTACCTGCTTTTATCGAGAACTCCGACGTCCTGCGGTGCCACCACAAACTCTTGTCCCGCTTTACAAAGATATAGTGCGAGTCGGTCTGGAACACCTCCATTCTTGATCTGTACTACTTCATTTGCGACATTACCCGTCTAATTTAATGCGACGCGATTTAATACGCGACCAATTTTTAATGTTTACGAAATTTGGTAAAAGCAGTGTGACCAGAACACGGGTAGGACAAACATCCGAGTTTTTCGGTATTATCGATATATCGATTTAATTGCGCCAACGTCCTTCTTTCGGTATCGATAGATGATTTTCACTTTAAAAGTGTGGAACCCAAATAACGAAACGGGAATTTCAGATTTTAAATATATAAATAATCCGTTTTCTGGTAATAAAGTGGCTTAAAAGGGAGACAGTAATATGGATTACATTGGCTTTAAACAACCAACTGACTGCCTAATAAAACGTTAACAGAATTGTTCAAGGCGAATTAAATCAGCGAATTGATTAATGATTTTCTTAATATTATTATTAACTTTACAATTGTTGCGTGTAAATATTTAAATAAGGTCGAAGATATCAATTCTTAAGACTATTAGTTATAAGTGTATTTTTAAAAATAGGTAACTCCATAGTCCCAGATTTTCAAGTAAATTGCCTAAAATCTTAATTATTATCAAAAATGTAATAATTTATTAAGTTTAATACATTCCTGAATATCCCAAAAAAATAAAAATGAAAAACTAACGTTAACGGTAATAAATGGATTATCCATTGGATATAAACCAAGAAGTATAGCCAATCAAGGTTGTAGTCCATGCTAGTTTTACCACGCTTTAAGGAAGCAATTATCGATTCCGCCCCTTATATAGTGGCGCCACCTATATGTCACGCTTAAAATGTTTTATCTATTCTTGGCCAAATTTCATTTCCGATGGCGCCTGTGTTGCCTTATAGATATACCTTCTAACAGATTATAAATTTTTTTAAATATACTTTTAATAATTTTTTACGGTCTACTGTACACTTTGAGGTTTACACAAATTTTAAATTTTAAATATGGAGTTTATGACTGTATTATTGATAAAGGATTTCAATGTAGATGGATTCTACGCTTACTATAGCAGCATACTAACAGCATTTTCAAACTTCGTAGATAAATAATTACCTTTTTCACAACCTCTTAATTAGCAAATATATATAGTATATAAATTCATGCTACGCTCTTAACTTAGTGGACTGCCGTCAACATAAATAATTCAAGCGACCGATATTGATCGCTTTTTGCATATAAATGCAATAGTAACGACGGAAATTTACTGTTAAAAAAATGTCCAATAACAATATAGCTCTTGTCTAATAATAAAAAGTTAAAGAAAAACAGTTATTTGAACTTAAATCTTTCTTATTTCTAGTATTGTGTTACCAAAACGTTTCAAGCCACTCTTGCAGGGAGAGCAATTTAAGGAAGGGGAGAAATGCTTTCAAGTCAGTGCCTATGATAATAACGATGTTATCGTTTATTTACGAATTCGGATCATTATCATCAATCAATGTTTTCTCGGCGGAGTCTGCGGCTGGAGGCGATTATGGCAGCCGTTAAACGGGTTGAAGCCACCATTTTGGAAAGGATGAAAAATCGATAGAAAGGTCCTTGAGACTTTTTCAAGTTGTGCTGTAAAAATCATATTTCATCTGACTCACTCCAAAGGAATTTTCATAGAAAAATAAATGCTTTAATAAAACGGAGACCATTAAAAGAACACAAATCAATTTGAGGGATATGCAGATGCGGATGTTCATCCTATAAATGGGCCAATCAAATTAACCCGAGGGATGGGGCCGGCGTTGCGCATTTATGACAAATGTTGTGCGTCCTGATGTGAAAACAATGTAGGCACGTTTTTATGCGACTTTTGGTCCTTTGAACTGCGTTCGTTCCGACGGGGATGAAGGGCCAGGGCCACGGCTACGGCGTTAAGGTTACGGCTGAGGAACTGAGAAACTGACGGACGGCGCTCAGCATCTCGCAGTTAATTACTGTAAGTGGCACGGCGATAGTTTGCTATTTACAAGACCTGCACCTGCCGCCAGGAACGGAAACGGACAGTCGCAACTGCCGGATCATCCAAATCAAACGCCCTGCCATCAGGCTAAGCCAGCTCATCATTCACGCAATCCATTCATAAAAAAGATATATGACACAGTCACGCAGAAAACACGAGAAATGCTGTGCTTCAAATTGAATTGCAAACGAGCTAATCGATCCTCGGGGATGGAGGTAGAGACCAGGACACGCGTTTGAGGTCCTGTTGCCGGGTGCTTGGGGAATATGAATTTATATCTTTTAATCTGCAACAGAAGCAATGACTGTTGGTACTGCCCTTTTGCTGGGCCAAAAATAAAAGTGGATTTAAGGACGCAGGACATATTTCAACAAAGCGGCATTCAGATCCGGCAGCCCAGCTCTGTTTATTGTCACTGTCAAGTGGACCTTCGGGGGTGTGAAGTGGCTGGGAAGGGAAGTACCCAGCGAAGGGCGGCTTGGGGGTGGAAGGGCATTGACTGACGTCCTTGTAATTGCATTAAAATGCAATTCGAATTGCCGGTCGACCGCCGATTCGGATTCCGATTCCACTTTTCCCAGGCCACTGTCAGTTGCGAAATTCCAGTTGCCAGTCCTCCGGTTTGCTGAGTGCCATCGAGTGTAGGTGTCATCGGCATCCTACCTGTCCCTACCTCTTGGGAGGGCGTAAACTGTATTGATAGCTGCCTTCAACGCATTTCCCACTTCCTTGCGGCTGCGTTTCGATGGAGGAGAGTGTTACAGGAGAGACAGTTTGAGAGACAGTTGTGGGCAAAAAAAGCAAGTCAATCGTAACGTATATTTAAGCTTATTTATAGATTAATGGAATCATAATAAGTGCGTGTAAAATAATATTATCTGTGCAAAATGTACATATTTTACCTTTTGCATAACAAAGTTTTTAATCAAATTCGTTTTAATATATGTTATTGCAAATTTAATATTCTATTTGTTAGTTCTGAGAAGTAGGTCGGAATAAATACGTTATTAATTCCATCACATTTCACACATCGATTTTTTAAATCTAGTTGAATAACTTTAAAAATTGACTTTTTTGTAAAACACAATGGGAAATTCATATTAAAAATTATCATAATTCACTTAAACAAACAAATTATTCTTATTATTTGGTATATTTCCAACCTAATAAGAGTAAAATTTTCATGCCTAAGTTTAAATTACTATTACAGTGAGATTAAATGATCTTTGTAACTAAAATTTGAGCAAGACAAGAATTCATAAATTAAATAAATAAGCAAAATAATGAAGAGAACAAATCTTTTCAGTAAAAATTCATTCGTTTAGTTATAAATCCAACCGTGCAGCTTTATCACTGTAAGTTTTTCTCTACTTCTATGCCAAAGATTATCTTTCTCTGTTAAACATTTTCCCAGGGCTTTCCCATCCAACTAGCATCGTTTTTATTTGAGTAGCATCTGCTATTTGCGATCACTCATGGGGATCAAGTGTTATCTCCTGAGAAAGTCTCGGCACTTGATGGCGTGGAACAAGAGCAGCACCAACAACCACATTCCAATCCAATCCAGTCCCAACCCCCTTTTGCCCAGTCGGTCAAAGCACACTCAACGCCGATACAAGCGGATAACAATTATATTAAACAGGAGGCAAAACAACATCGACACAGGATTTGTAACAGGATACGCGTGTAACCACGGAATGGAGAGACGCTCAGCGAACGACAAAACACCCTTTCAATTAAATATTTGAAAACAACATTTGGCAATTATACAATTGACACCAGCCGAGAGTGGAGGGGCGGCGGTGGTGGATGTGGATTTTCCTGCTCCGAACACGACTTCATCAATTTGAAATGTTGCCAAACGCGTGACTCGTAAGGCACGCGCGTCATTTTCCGGCGGGTTCGGGTTTGAGGGGTTTGGGATCTCCCCGAGGCCGCAGGGATTTGAATAGAACGAAAAGCCAGTCGGAACGACCTGCTCATAAACAACATCAACAACAAGGACAAGTTGTGCGCGTTTAACATTAGTCAACGACGTCAACCTGCCACCTCGGCCAACCGCCCACAAAACGCCCTTTGAGTTGTCGTACGGTTGCCTTTTTATACCAGCTCTTTTATTGCCGCCCCATTCGTTTGCCGTTTACTTTTACGGGCAGACATTTATTTGGCCAGAGAAATCAGTGGATATTCGGAGTACGAGCCACTGGGTTTGGATATTTTTAATATGCATTTGGGAGAAATTTGGCCAGCGTTGGGCCTTCAAATGAGGTTCTTTTTGTTTCAATTTGCCAGCGAATGCGTGAAGATTTGAAGAGAAGTCAGTCAGTCGGCCGAGGTGATTGCCCCAATCCTGTCCAGGTTTCTTGAATTATTCATTTGGCAGCTACGAATTTTGACTAGCTTCGGACAGGCAGAAGAAAAATTACGCAGAAATCAAAACTTCCCCCGAAGACCACTTACAGAAGGTCCGAGTGAGAGTCCGGCCAAGGCAAGAATCCCAAGGAAAAAGGTCAATTCCAGTTGTGTGGCGAATAAAAAATGAAAATGCCTCGTCCGTGAAATGGACAACTGGGAAAACTGGGCCCAAGACAAAGAAAAGTATCTAAGCAAAGTCGGACAACAAATGAAATGAGAGCCAAGTTATGGAAGTGCCGAGCTTGAGCAATTTGAATACCTGAGATGGTGACCTCTTAAATGGGCACTGGAGACCCGTGCCTGGAATATATATATTTTTGAGCCAACTTGATTGGCTTTTCCCAAATAACTTCATCCTGCCAAACCGACCTGACATTTCCTGCGAGCCAGTAATTAATGTTCGCCATTGATTTCCGGCTAGCAATAAACGACGAGCGGGCCAATTTTCACGCCATAACTCTAATGGAATTCAACATAAATTTTCCAGACTTTTCAATATTTTATTAGCCCTTTTTGGACGGAGCGTGGCCATAAAATTGAAATGTTTTTCGGGCAGTCTCCGGGTCTGGCAGCACGTCAAAGTCACTGAGGTTTTTTTTATGGCGTTTCATTGGTCGGTTATAAATTTGTGTGTTCGGCAATAAATACCAAAATAATTCTATCAGAGCCATTCGTACGTGGAAGGTCGAACCATCCTGTTGACACTTGTGGGTTGAGTTTGGGAGTGTTGTAAAAAACAGATCGAACCACCCCAAACCCATTCGGAGTCCAATGCTGACCACCAAGTAGAGAGCTCGGTCCCGGCACTTTACACAATTTTTATCTGCTGCTGATGTGATTTTGCACTCAATTGAAAACAAACTCGATTAAATTTTCATGTCAAATTGCATGGGAAAATCAGTAACATGACTTACCACTCCTCGAACGTGGCCTGTTTATTGAGAGCTTGAAGTGCGAATGATCTGTTATTGTCATCGCAATGAGTTTGTCTCTTTTGGGTTTATCGGATTTTTCAGTGGGATTTTTTAAAACCCTAACAGTTTAAGGATTAAGTTTGTTAGTTAAAGTAAACCTTCGCCTTGTTGATTAATTGTTTTCAATATAGTTGCTAATAGGTTAAAGTTATGTAATGTTAAGCTAAATATAAAGATACAACCTGCTTAAATTTACCTGGCTCATTCTAAGGACCAATTTTAAGCTTTTTTAATCCCGACTATATTGTTATGAAGTTTTTTCTAATATTACTTGATTGTATAATTGTGTAGATTCTTTTTAACTTTCTGCCCCTTTTCCCAATGTCACAGCTCGGTAATGTGCTTTTTGATAAGGGTTAGGTTAGGCTTTGAAATGACAGCTAACAGAACTTGGTTGTTTTTAAGATTTAGACCTAAAATAATTGCAGACTACAGGTTAATCATTTCAGATGTCATTTGACCTATGGCTGACTATGACCCTCCCTCCTTTCTGAGGGTTTGAACTTCTAAGAATTTTCACTTTATTTTACAAGTTCAAAAAGCAAGCTTGATAGTATCTAAATCGGTGAATGACTCCCCCGAGAACAAAAACTAAAGCTAACAAATTGCGGACAACGGCATGTGAACCGGACAAGCTAATGACAGGTTTAATCATTAGTTTTCAGCACAAATGAGCGGGGCAGCGGGGCCATTAGAGAGCTGTTAGTTTTGGGTCCCTGCCCAGTCGGGCGGTATATACATGTATATGATATAGGTTGAGGGGTATGTACAGCCAGGGAGAGGGTGATTAGCGCACTCCATTTACTCCATTTTTAAACTCATTTAGTGCAGCGTTTTTAACGACCTCCATGCGGAGGAAGGGAGACGGCTAATGACAGTTGGCCGCCTTTGTTTGCCCACCAGAACAATGGCCGCCCTGTTTGTTTTTTTTTTATTTATTTATTTTGTTTTTTATAACCGCACTCATATTGCGGGGAAACAAGCTCGTACGTTAGGTGAAATTGTTTTCTTTATGACGTTTTTACGACTGGCTGTTCCGACAGGGGATCGCCATAATTAGAGAACCCCCGTAGCAGCCATATGCACATTCACTAATACAGAACACAGCCGTGTGTAGAGCGATAGCGACTCATATTTAATTTAAATGTCCCCCGATGCCCGCTAATTATTCGCTGTCAACTGTGCACAGTGCATCCGCATCAGGGCAGCTGAATAGCCCAACTGCCTGACTGACTGACAGCAAACTGTCCAACTTGTTGTCAACTCTTTTGTGGCCTTAGCCGAACTGATGAAAAACTAATTTGAAAAATGTGCTTAGCTTTGTGGCTCCGCTTGGCTCCAGCTTCAGCTTCAGTTCCAGTTCTAGTTCGAGATACAGATACATATCCAGGATCCATAATGTCTGCCAGCGACCGCCATCTGTATGCTTAAATCCTTTTCAATCTTGCCATAATCCAAATTGACACGTACATGTGCAGCTGCTGGACGTGGACGAAGAGTCCTGGCTCCGTCGATCCGTATCCGTAGTATCTGTATCCGTATCTGGCGCCTGTCTTGTTGACCAACCGCATTCTGTTCGGCCTGTTCGTTTGTATTTTTCATACTCGCATCCACTTTTTTGACTGACACACGCCCATTCGCCCCCTGGTCACTTCCAATTTGCCTTTTCTTTTTCGGTTTTTCGGGGGATTTCCGTTCGCAAGGCCGAAAACTTTGGCTGCACTTTGGCCAGTGTCCGGTTGTTATCCTCTTATCCGAGACTCGACCCCATTTCTGCCGTAGTCCCGAAGTCGTTTCATGTTGTATTACACTAAGTGGACACAAATAGATTGGTGTTTCTTCTCCGTCCAACTGCCTGTCCACAAGTTTGCTCAATAATCAATCAAACCTGGAACTTGAAAACCGATTTCGGGATCCCGGGGGCAGCAGCAACGGCAGCCAATTAGGGGCAACCCCACATGCAATGCCACATTCGTTGGGGGCAAGGATTCAAACGAATCGGGATGCCGTCCTCATTACATACAAAATTTGAACTTGCCGTTGGCCACAAAGAAATAAACCCCAGATTGTCCAATTAAACGCAATTTATGCGGATTTCCAAGTAGCCCAGTCTCTGCCCCATATTGAGACCACACACTTGAAGAAAATAAATATCTTAATTTAAACAGTACAGGTTTCGGGAAGCTATTACCTTTGTGTTTATAACTAGGCCACGATTGATTTTGGAGAAAGGCTTGATTAAATTACTAGGCAGAGAAATCGTTGTTTTGTAAGAAATTAATAATACTTTATATTTATAAATATATTAATAAGATATACTTAGAAGAGGGTTTGCTATATTTTCAATCTTTAAGCTCTAATATTTTTATTATCATGCCTTTAAGATACTTTAAGTTTTTCAGTTTAAGATAATCCTTTTTCCCAGTGCATCTTCATCCACAAGCCCGGCAGCGGCAAATGGCAAATTAAAAAGGTGTCTCTGCTGAAGCTCAAATAAACAGCATTTGATCGGCCGGCGTCTGCAACTTTGTTACGGGCGCCGTCTTTCAACTCCTTTGGTCCGAAAATCGTTTACTTCCGCACAGGCCAGGCCATCGACCACCGGCGGCCAACTTGTAGGATTGTAGGAGTCGTGGTCCGGTTGGATTAGGGACCGACCTCAGCGCTAATGTGACAGCGGCAACACTTTAGAGGCGGAAGGTCCAAAAGGATGATGGATCGGAGTATAGGGGCTACCTGTTCAGCGGCGCCTGTTTGTTTTGCTTTCAACGCAAAAAACACGTAATATATTTATAATGAACGGCCTCGGGATATTCGCTCGCTAATTGTTGTTAGTTTTTCGTGGGCTTGAGCATATGGCTGATTCTTTTCATAGGTATCCCAATCATTAGCACGTCGAAAGGTATCCGGTTAAGCCGCAGGTTCCTATCAAAATTGGTCTACACAATGCCCTGTCAATAAATATCCATAAATCATCTTCAATAGATTGTTTCTAGTAGTTAAGGGTTGGAACTCTAGCGTTTAACTACCGAACTCAACCGAAAAGGCTATAATTCCTCCCTTCACTTCTGATTTTGTTTGTTTTTGGGGGAGTTTTAATGTAATTTTCTATCCATTTGTTACCAAAACAAACAAACTATTGTTAAAAGAAATGAATTTGTTCTCTCAACAAGAAATGCTCACGCAATTTGTTGAAGTTTAGCTAATACTGAATATATCCTTTGTAAATCGTAATGAGATTTATTAAGGTCTCTAACTAGATGCCTCTATTGCCTAAATAATCCTCTAAAAAGTGAGTTTTTATTATAATTTCTTGACTTTAACCGCTTCCAATGTTTCACATTTTGGTATGATTTCCATAAAAAGATTTTCCTTATATTCTTTGATTCAATAATGTGTTTATTTTCATTGCTCATCTTGTTTACTTTGTCATAATCATACATGTATTTAGGGTTCATAATTTATAATACTAGGTAATGCCATTCGACTTAAGCCTAGAGACAGATGTTACAATTACAATACATTACAATCCGTATATAATTTTGTATATATATTTATATATTAAATATGCTATTACTAAACGTGGCTTCCAAGCTCACTGCGACGTTTTGAGATGCGGTTTGCTTCGGTTGAACTGTCGAACAATAACTAAGATTCTAAATGCACTAAAAGCTCTACGAAACACAAAACGGAAATTCGAGATTCTACACAAAACTTAAAGCGCTGGTCCAGGTGCATCCCCATCGTGGTATCGTCATCATCCCGGAATCGGTTAAGTAAGCGTCACTACAGAGTAAAGCTAGGTATTTACAGTGGGGCTTTGAGCCAACGCCCCCTTCTTCTCATATGTACAGTGCGAACTGTCCGTTCATCTCGAACTATGTACAAAGCGAAGTGTATCACAAATAAACCAGCTCCCGCCAAATTAGAGGGGCTCCGTCCACCGATGGCATGGCGATTAGCAGCCCGCCGCATGCGACGCCTCTGCCCATGGTTGTAGTCCATGCAGAGCTGCCAGGGGCGCCCCGTTCACACCCCCTTGCGAGCCCAAGGGCGCCGATGGAGGGGCGAATCCCTTGCTGATGGCTTCTGCCTGGAGGGAGAGCATCAGCCTATTCGCCGCCTGTCTCTCCGCCTCTCGCTCCTCGGCCGTCTGACGTCTGAAATTGGATTGGAAAATAGGAATATTGATTAGTAATTTGTTGAGTTTTAGTTTAAGGTATAAGGTATAAATTCCTAGTTGAGGAAAGGCTTTACTATACCTAATCAATATCTCAATATCTTAGTCTTCGTGCTCTCTTCTAAATATTTCTGTTTGCTATCCCTTGTCGTATAATCTTGGAAAGTTGCTCATTAGTTAGTTTATTATTTAATCATATATTGTCCATTTGCCTTTTAGAAACTAATATCCATTTAAAATACTCTCATTATATATAACATTATCAACGATTTTGGGTTTAGTATCGTTTGATTAATCGAAGAAGTCGTTCTTTAATCTATAGACTAGTATTATAATGTAAGATCTGTGCTGAGATTGCAGAAAGGCATCAAACTTATTTTAATTTCTTACCCAAATAGCACAAATTTTTAACAGAAAACTATATAATCTCATTGACCATAAGTTCTTAAATAAATTGGTAGAGTTGCAGCAAAAATGTCAGGGTCCAATCGATACCGATGATGACCGTGCACACACTTAACCTTATCTGCCAAATAGTATCGCTTAATGTACATATTCATTATGGAAAACCAATTTGCCGCAAACCAATTTCCGTCGCTCACAGTTGTCGAATTGGTCGAAGGGGGCGAAACAGGAGCTCATCAAGTCATTATGTGGGCGGCCTATTAAGACCATTTAAAACTAATCAAATCAAATATGCTGACTGCCGCACACAATGTACTCGTACACACAGCCATCGATTGTGCTTGTTTTTGTTGAAAATTAATTTCGTGCCGAGTTGGAGCTGCGTAAATTGCATTTTAAATGCTTTGCGCTTAAAAGGGATTTGGCCCCCACTCCCCCAGCTTGTGCCCTGCCAGATGATAAATAATTCAGGGCCAAATTGCACTGCAGATGCACCAACTCTGCCCCGCGTTTGCGCAGCATTTGTGCTCTAATTGTGGCCATGGTCCTGCCTGCACCACCATCGTAGAGCTACCCCCATTCCCCACTTCCTCTTCATTCACATCCACCCCCGCATAGCTAGGGGTTGTTTCTACGCCATCTTGAATATTTCATGAGCTAATGAAGTTCTTATGTTGCCGTCTAAAGAGAAGAGAAAAGGGAAGGGTTGCTCGAATTATAACCACAACTAGGCAAGGCCAACACACATTCCAGCCGTATATCATAATTATTGTTTAATATGCTTTCATTACGGGTTTCATCAGCATTGTCATCGTTCAAACTACGCTTTCATAACTTGCTAGTGAGCTTCATTAAAAATACATTAGCCTGGGTATTTAGTGCAAACTTTTGGGCCCACAAATGGGAATAACTAGCACATGTCTTTATGCCTCATTGGTGGTTAAGCCAAGGATGTACTGTAACTTAAATTGGTAGGCGATATTTACGGATATTCATTGATATATAATATATGGAGAGTTTCTATTAATTCAATTACTTAAATCAAGGCTTTCTACAGCAACTCCCCATTTACCAATTGCTGGCTTAACAATTCAATTGTCTGCTTGGCGGTGGAAGTGAGTTATTATGCAGCAGGCAGTTTGCTTTTACTTTTTCACCTTTTCGCCTTGAAGTTGGCTTTATCGGGGAACATTTTTAACAGCTACCGCATAAAAAATTCAACGAAAATTGATTAAAAACTCCAAAACGGCCAGGCAAACGAAAGTGGCGCTGTTTCGAGTTCCGAGTCTCGGATGTGTGTGTGTGCGGGTTTAATTCGCTCTTTTGGGGCCAAGACAGAGACACGATTGTAATTTATCTTCAGTCACGGAGCTGGGAAATGTAACAAACGCTTTACAAATGTTAAATGTTGGTCTCTTGGCGCCATCGCGTTGATGTGGAAAGTTTTTGTTGCCATCCGCGATAAGTAATGGCCAGGCATTAGCCTAAAATGTTTATTAAAGCCCGGCCCATAAATCTCCCAAGCTCCCCCGCGCCGAAGGCCCAAATTGTCGCCAACAGACAAAAAATGTGCTCGGCAGCTGCTGTTTAAGACCTTTCCGGCCATGTCCTGGTAATTAAAATCATTTCACACACTGCACGCAAACGACGTCGGCAAGTCGAGATAGAGCAGCATAGCAGCAGCCCCAAAAAGGTCCTGCGGTAATTATCCCTCAAGACATAACAATTTAGCCAGACCATCAATTGACTGGCCAAGGAGCTTTTCCCCTGGGGATCCCCAGGGAATTGGACCACCGCAAACTTGAAGATTCTCTCGCAGGACACGTGCCGAAAACAGGACCAAGCGGGATTCCAAGTTAATTTACAAATGGCTCTCGCCATTGTAATTAATTTTTTTTGATTTTTCGGCTCTGCCCGCAGAAACTTTGCTTTCAGTCAAATTGATTTTTGTTCTGCGGTCAAAGTTGTAGCTGTAGTTCCCTGGCATGTGTGTAAATTTTTAATCAGCCAGCTTTCAGCAGGAAAACTTCTGCATATGCTAGGCGGCAATTAATATTAAGTACTAGCTCTGCCAAGATTTCCTAAAAGAAAATATGTGAGTGAGGCGGTTTTTCGGGATGATGAACGAGCATGTAATTAAAAAGGGTTTAGCGGTAGCTTGATTTATGGCTCTAGGACTAATTGAATTATAGAGCAAGTAAGGAGAGGGAGAAAGAGCCAGACAGAAGTCAGAGTGTTCCAGTTGTTTTGGGGATTCAAAGGATACAGCGCCCGGAAGTGTGCTTCCATTTTTTGTTTCCCCATGGTTTCTGTATCTGTATGTATCTATCTGCTTTGTATCTGTATCTTCTCTGGCAGATTTTTTCTTTTTGTATTCTTTTTCCTAAACACATTGTCAGACAGTGACAGGCAACAAGAGTTCATTCATTTGGCCGCGCAATTTGTTATTCATTATTGATGCCAAGTTGTTGCTGTTCTTGTTGACTCGAACGAATCAGTCGATAGCACTCAATATACAGAGACAATGCTCGTAATGAGCCATTCGCCTTGTCTCAAACGAGTTGCTATTTATTAGGAATTGGGCAAGAAAGACAGCTATGCAATCTTTATACGTTGCCTAATGGGCACTAGGCACTAGGCACTAGGCACTTGGCACATAGCGCATACGCCACATTGGACAGGGCTAATTATTCAAATTACTGGAAAACTGGCAAATGCAGCGCAGTGTGCATTAAGGCAATTATGTGAGCACATTACACATACCCTGGATATTTACGAGTAGTGCCGCCTCGTAATCATGCTACGTATAATGTGCCATTGCCATTTCACTTAACCGCAAACGAGCCGTGGCCAAAGAAGCAGTTGCCATTGCCGTTGCCGTTAAAAAAATTGCGTTTTACATCATTAATTTTTACGAGCTGGAATAGGCCCAAAATGGCTGATAAGCCTGGTTAGGACTGGGCTCTAAAAATGCCGGCGCCTGTTAAGCGGCAATTAACGCGACTAAAGCGCCGTTCAGCCCTCTTTTCCTTCTACTTTTCCTTCCTGGGAAAGTGGGAAACTTTGTCCATTTAGCCGCCATTTGCCATCATCTTTATGACGGTCGGAATAATCGCATATGAATAGCCGCCAGACTATCCGAATTCATCCGCTCAAATTATTTCATATTCAAATACTGTTTGTTGGCAGTAATAAAATAGAAAACAATTAGCCGCACGCAATATCACGCATCAATGCTCGAGTAAATTGGTGACATTTCTTGTCTGACTAATTTTGGTTTCAAATAAACTATCATTTGCATGTTGAATGTGAGAACAATGTATCTACTTAATATGGGGGCTCATAAATCTGAAATACTTTTGGCATTTGACAGCTCAATTTTGTGTGTGCTAAGTTAGGAACCCAAGTAAAAGTTATATGGAAAACAATTTAATATAATGTTAATTATGGTTCTCAATTGATGGATAAATATGGACTTAAAAAATTGTTTTTAACTTAAAAGCAGTACTTAGCTAACACAATTTCTTATTAAAGTTTTCTATAAACTCTTTATAGAATTAATAAAATACTTAACTTCATTGCACTTATTTTAATGATAATATTCCATACAAGTTCTTTCAACACAAGAGCACTTTTAGTTTAGTTAAGTAAATTATAGCCCAATATAATATATCTATCTTTATGAGAGTCTAATCCATATATTTAGTTGGAAATTACAAACGCCATTAAAAAAGCCTTGCCAATTAGCTTGTTTAACAAGAGCGCTCTTTGTGGCTACAAAATGCAACTACCCCTCAGTTAGCCTCGTAAATATGCTCCCCCCTTTCCCTGGGGCTGAGTGTTGTTCATTTAATGTGCTCATGCATATTGTATGAGCCATTTACTCCCCGTTTATGCGCGTTGGGCTCTGATGCTCTGTAATCTAGTTGGGTTACATCAAGACAGGCATTAACTTGGTAACAACAAAGTTCTGGTATTGTTTTATGAGGGAGTTTTCCATGGAGAACAAGTTTTGGTGTATTAAGCTAGATTGACATATTATTCTTGTTGGCTATAAATATTAATATAATGATGCTATTTGGGAAACAACACCTCTTTTAGTAGTATTTAAAGACTTTTTAACATCTTCAACTGGGTAATTTTCATTCCTTTATCATATATATGAGTTATTTCCTCATAAAATTCAATTTTCATCAAAAATAATCCAAATCTTTCATTTTTAGAGCATTCCCCTTTCGGATATCTGCTCTCTAGCCTTCTTATTTTCGCTCTTTTTAACAAAAGCCTTTTGTGCATATTGTAGTTTAAACACGGCACGTAAAAAACACAGAGAAAAGCGGGGGGACATAGAAGAGGGTAAGTGTCAAGCTGTCAGCACTTCCAAGCCCTGAAAAATGGTAGCTGCGCTGCCACTGGGGTTGGGTATTGATTTTTTGCCTTCTAGCCCAGCGGTGGGCGAACAATGCATGGGGTAACTCTGGCGGTAACACTCACCTCCACTTGGTGCGTCGATTCTGGAACCACGTCTTCACCTGGGCATCGGTCATCTTCAGGCCACGGGCCAAGGCCGCCCGCTCCGCGGATGCCAGATACTTCTGCTTGTGGAACCGCTTCTCCAACTCGGCCACCTGGATGCGCGTGAAGGAGGTGCGTGGCTTTTTTCGCTTCGGCGGCGTGCGATTCTGGTAGGGATGTCCGATCCGTCGGGCAATGGGAAAGGCAGCTGTAATGAGAGGAATGTGTGAGTACTTAATAAGGCTTACTTAGGGGCAAGGCAATCGATTTTCCATTCTTTATACACCTGCGGCCAATGAAATAACTCAGGGTATGATGTTTAGAAAAAGTAATTACTAATCTCATAACTACTTTAGAAGAACTAAGACAACACTCTTCTTGTTCTTTGTTTAAAATATGAAAAGTTTCTGTAAACTTAAAACAAAATTCCCATATAAAAGCTGATAAGTTTTAAGTTATAGGAAATCTTTAAACATATTTATATCACATTTACTTAATATTTCAAAAACTATTACTGCGATCGCATCTCCGACTGTCTCCCCCTTCGTGCGGTGTGTGTCCTGGCGGGCAATTAGTAAACAATAAATTCCTAGATAACTGGTCATTTCCGAAAGCCGCTTCCGGAGTTGAGCGGCGGCACCTGTGCGCCTGCGAGTACTTAGCACTGCTGGCTACTCGATACCTGTTAGCCTGAGCTGTAGCTGTTACCTGGCTGCCTGCCTAAATGCCTAAATACGACCACTCCCGCTGTGAAATCAATTTGGAGGCCGCTGACTAGCTGCCTAGCTGCCTTGCTGCCTAATTGCCAAGGATTGAGGTTTCGGGCGGCGGTCTAGCAGGAGCCCTTATCGCCGCCTCTTGTAGACAAAGCACGCGACATCCATTCCATTTCCATTCGGGTTGAGGTTGAGTCATAAAGTCGCGCTCGTAGGACGCATAAGTGACCCAGTGTCCGGATCTCTGGTTTCTGAATTTCTGGATATGGGCGCGGAACGGTGGCTGAGCCTGTGCTGTGGCGCTGAACCTTTTAAAATTCCTGCCAGTCGCCGTTGTGTGTGCTTTGTTGTTTATTGGGTGCGATAAGGCGGGCACAGTGCGGCCCAGTCAGTGACAACAACACCACACCAGCGACAATTAGGAAACCGGCTTACAGACTGACTCCGCATCCGCAGATGAGGTCAAGTCAGCAGTCGGGGAGAAATTTTTTGGCCAGCAGTTGCTGAAAGTGATGGCCAATCACCTGCATCGCAGCCAAAACGAAACTTGAGCCAAAGGCAAGACAGACAAATTGATTGTTAAATTATTCAAAAATATTAACACACTTTAAGCAATGATCAAGTCAAAACCAAATTAATAATGTTTTATAAATAATCAAATTAGTCAACTGTCGTTTCAGTAAAAATACTTTGCTTTGTCTTTTCAAGCATTTGCAACGAAGACAAATGTTCAAGATAACAAAATTGCACTTTTTAATGAGGGCTGTCAATCAAATTAATGAAACAACATTATAGCTTCTACTCAAAATGATTAGGTGTACTTTGGTGAATAAATTAGGAACGCTTTTCATTTGAATGAGTTTCAAGTTTTATGTTTTTCATATCTAGAACACACCTAACTTAGTTACTAGAGCGTAAATGTTCTATGATTTGTAATGTAGAGTGGATTTCCCCCAATCCCATTACCCCCGAGAACTTTCTAAAGTATGAAAACCTTTCGAATGTGAATATAACTTATCGATTTCAGTCCCACCAACTCCCATTGAAATTGAGTTGTGTTTATGGTCGTTCAAGTTGGCGTTGGAAAATGGCGAGTGGCCTGTCAAAAGCCATCAAATGCCGGCGAATGTATGGTGGGTGTTAAGCTGACAAATCATGTTTCTTATTCCGACTTTTCTCGAGAACCCTTTCTCAGGCCAAAGGATAAACTTTCCCGCGTGCTTGGTATACATTTTGAAAAGGCTTTTGGTTCAAGGGTCGTGCGGGTTGCCGATCATTTGAATATTTCAGGCAATATCAATTTCAATAAAAAGCCATTTATCGCACCACATAAGCAGCAGCCTCGGGATTTTCCCCGAACCAAGATGTGTGTATCCTTTAAGGATATAAGGATGCCAGCTTAGAGGGAGGTTAAGTCGCATAAGCATAATTTTATAGCTTTACCAGCATTCCACCTCTACTTCCTGCTTATTTATGATGTTTTCTCACTGGCGCACATAAGTATCTTAAAGATACACATGACGGCGAGGGTGTATGTGTGTGCTTGCGGCCAAGAAGTCTCACCAGAAATACCTAAAATAATGCAAAAAGCTTTTAGCATGCATTATTAATGGCGGCCTGTGGCTCGGCCTGGTTTCCTCCCTCTCCGCTATTTTGGTTTGTTTCAGAAACTGCTACTCTTTGACCTTTGCTAGTGATTTGGATAAAAACTAGTCCCCCTCTACTTTCTCATAAAATATCAAAAATATTGTAAATTAAGAGTTAAATGTAACCAAATACTTTATAATAAGATTTATGATTTAACAGAACTAATTTGAAATTATAAGGCATTTGTTTAAAAAGGTTTTTCAAGCCCATAATCTTCTATATAGATCCTACCCTCCGCTCACTGCCAGCATTCGTGTGGGCAAGTGTCGTGACCAAAGCCCAACTCCCATTTGGATTATTATGGCCGTTATGAAACTGCATTAGGCTCTGCATGGCCGAAAAGTAATTGGCGCCTGCTGCGACGTTGTTTTCCGAAAAATAACGAAAATTAACATGCAATGGTTATTAATCATATGGCGCTAAGAGCCCTGGGAAGGGCGGGGAGCACTTTGCATGTGGAGAAGGGAAGGGATCGGATCGGATCGGATCCGAGCCCTGGACGCTCGTTTGTCTTGTTAATGAAAAAAGCCAAGGCGCCAGCTTATCAGCCACAAGGCAAGCGACACAATAAACACAACAAGACTCAGACGACAGAAGACAGAAGACGAAGATGTTGACAAAACGAAACGAAGCGACAGAAACTGGGATCACCCGGCGGCCTCATAAGTGTGCCTTTCCTCTCAGTTGGACTAGCCGAGTGGAACTGACTGATCCGATCCCATTCGGTCCGATCGGATGCCCCTCCTCCGCGGGGATATATACTCGTATATGTATATAAGTATGGATATGGATATGCAACCCTCGGATCGCTGGCATTCGACTGGCTAATTAAAAGCTGACCATGTCAGTTGGACTCAAATGTGAAGTGCGGTATGCGGCGATAAATAAGCCGGCGAAGACAGAAAACTCACTCGCTGAGCCCTGCGACCGCCCAATGCGTAATTAATTCCTTTTCGGGCTCAGCGCGAAATTAAAAAGTCATGTAAACCAGCTCATTAAAATAACTAAAAAGGCTAAAAAGAAACACACATGCTAACCAAAACCACTGGGCGGATGTTGGCCATAAAAGCCCATCAGATTGTCAGGCCAGCTACTAAGCAGCTTTTCCACATCACATGACCGAAAAAGACCCGAATATTATGAGTTATAGGACGAGGGATCGAAGGATCCCCATTCGATCCCCATTCAATCCCCATTCCGATGCCTCGGCTACCGAGGCGTAATAAAATCAACGCCGTCTCATTATTTCAAAGGGCTCGCGCTGTGCCCGTCGCTTGTAGCTACAAGTGAAGCTCATAATGTAAACAAATTAACAAAAAGGGAGCCAGAGGATCCAGCTGCACATGGAGATGCTGCTTCAGATGCCAACACAGATACAGATGCAGATCGAGGCGACCAGCGACCAGCGACAGATACAGATACAGATACAGATACAAATACATCTGCCCATGCGCATGCAAATAAGAGGGCGCATCTCATTCCTGCGTCGCTTCTGGGCGGTGGCTCAGCGTTAAGTTTTTAACTTAAGCTGCGATTGCGCATTTGAAGGCAAACATGTTTTTATACTTTAGCATCCTGAGCACTCGAGTGTGCGTTTACACTGCGGGAAAAGTAACACTCACTTTAATGTGGCACAGATTTAACTTTCCTAAAACTGCGTTCAGTTATATTTTCGAAAAAGTTCAATGATTGGAAAATAGTTGTTAGACAGTAAAAATATAAGACTATAAGCATATTTTATACCAATTTTGAAGTCTTTAGATATCTGATGCTATAACCTCATTATGAATGAATATAGTAAATATAATTATTAACCTAAGTTATCATTCACAAAGAAGAATAATTTCTCTATTTTTCCCTGCTTCCCAGCACACTTTCACTTTCATTCCCCTTGTTTAGATACAACTCTTCCGTTTTTTCCTCAGTGCATCAGTGTGTTGGCCAACAATGACATGCCGATAGGCTTGTTGCCTTAAAAGACTTCTCTGATCGCGTTTATTTGGGGAACAGTAGCAATTGCCACCGCGGGTCATTGGGGGATCGCTCCCCCTCAGAGATCTCGGCGAACATGGGCCACCGCGACATGGGGCCGCCGACTTGGTTTTACGTTACCCTGACTCCTTCACTTCAGTTCACTTCTTTTCACTCACCTGCCAGCCGATCCTTGACCGCCTGATGGGCCAACGCCGCATGATGCAATGGTGGCAGGGCCCAGGTTAGCGGCGTTCGCTGGGGCGGCACACGCAGCACATGACCGCCGGCGGCTGAGGGATAAAGATGCGGATACGAATAGAGGGCCGCGGCGCTTCCGTACGTTGAATTGGCGATGCTGGTGGCCAGCTTATAGGCGGCCAGGTCGTGATCTTCCTGCTGCAGTAGCTCCTTCTCCTCGCCCTTTTCGCCGCTGTTGTTGTTGTTGCTGCTGGAGCCGGGACTGCTGCTGATCAGGTGGTTGTTGTTGTTGTGGTGGTGGCTCGTCTCGAAGGGTTTGGATAGCAGGCGTGATATGCTGAAGGGCAGATTCTCGCTGGACGAGGAACGCGTCTGCTCCGACTGTAGGGATTCGCTGGATGAAAAGAAGAGAAGGCATAAGACATCAGAATCAGAATCGAAGGAAACGAAACCTTATAGAGGTGCGGGCTCATTAAAAAGTGTCGCCTGATAAGCGGAAAAGCCTGAGAACATTGACTATAATTAAGCCTGCTGCAGTATGGACCAGTCTCTTGAAGCCACTAACCAAAAGCCCACGCGAGCGGATAAGCCGCGGCGAACGCCGAACGACATGACATGCAGAACCCATGTGGCCAGCACTGCGTATACGCAATGCGGCTGGAAATTAAGTAATTATGCAAATGCTGACGGCCGTTAGAGGCATTTAATACGCGACCATAAATCATCGAATGCCATCAACTGACGCACAAAAAACAAGTCACGCACGGCATTTAATTTACAAATCCGAAAAAATAAAAACCCATTTGGAACAGGAATGGAATTGTATCGGAACAATAACCAAAATGCCATCAGGCAACTCACTCACACTTTCCAATATCAAAAGTTATGAGCATACACATATTTTTCTGTTGGCCAAAACTGGCGGCTAAGACTATCTGGTGCTCTACATTCGCTGGAACGCGATTTTTACGGCATTTTTATGACGATCTCTATTAAAATGTTAATCCGACAAACGATTTCGTCTTTGTCTGGCATTCAAGCCGAAGATCAAGCTCCAGATCGAGTCCCAAATGGACCCAAAAGTCTTATCACAACGCGTTTTTGGCGCCTTACTAATGTGCGTTTTATCGTCGACGTCCATTCGAAGCCCTTTCCCCATCCGTGGACTATGTAAATTCAGGGAGTTTCTTTGTGACTTTATGGGGCATTTTGGACTTGATTCTTTTGGTGGCTTTGTGGTCAATTCATTAGCGTTTAAGAGGTTTGTTCACACCGTTCTTCAATAAGCGAACAACAGCATCAATGGGAGCAGTTAGCACGGCCTGCTCGACATTCTGGCAGCTTGTTAGGCCCCTTTTGTCGGTGGAAAACGTTGCCTTTGTACGGCTGGACAATGGGTCTACGCATCCATCGCGTTTTAACGGCGTTAAGCCGAAGAAGTTGATTCGAAAAATAGGATTTGTGGGTATTGTCAGCGAAAAGGCCAAAGACTATAAAACAGTGGGAGTTGTGAACAAATAATAACAAATGTAAATAGCTTTTTTCTCTGCTTTAAGACTAGATTTGAGTTTTATGGAGGGAATAAAGAGAAATTCAAATCCCAGGTCGTGGAGATTTTCTAAGGCGATTGATACTTTTTATACCGTTTAAGTTAAAAGCTCTGTGTACCATTCAATATTTGTATATTTACAAAATAAATCGAACAAAATAAAACTTAACTAGCTATGACAAATTTAACAAATAATTAAACTGGATAAGTAGCCACGAAAATTGCTCCAATTGATCCGCTCTTTTTATCATTTCAGGTATTTTGGGAAACTTTCATAATAAATTGTTTCCGATCATTTATTTGTTGAGTGCAAAACAATATTAAAACCTATGGTAAAGCAATCGTAGCTCTATTAAAGTTCAGTAGGCTGAATGATTTAAAGAAGCAATTAAACCAAAAAATACTTTTAGAAAGTAAAGCTCTACCAAAAATACCTTTTCAGTAAGCTAATAGAGCATTACCTAAAACTCAAATGATCTGAAGACTATAGCTGCAGCCTCCTATTAATGATATTTTTGCCACCCTTAACTAGTTATATTCCAAATTTTGCCATTCCAAAGGTATTCCATAGTCACGGATACTTTCCCAGAAATGGTTTATCCATCCCAGACCCATTTAAATATTCCCCTCACCTCAAAGGAGTTTCAGACTCATCGTAGCAGCTGCCGCCGTCCATATCCACATCGGATCCGCTGCCACAAGACATCCGTGAATCTGAGTCCACGTCCACATGGATCTCCTGCTCCTCCACCTCGTCTCCGTGCTCGTTCTCGTGCTCGTGATCATCCTCCTCGTGGCTGGACATGATGACACTAAGTGGCGCCAATTTGGTACTCCCTCACTGCACTTTAATAACTTATTAGTGGCACTTTTATTTCAAATTGTTAAGTTTAGAATGTTTAAACCATAAAGCACACACACAAAATGTTTTATTAATTTCAGTTTAATTTCCGCTTTTAAGCACGACCCGTTGCGGGAAATTCCAGATGCGAACTGCGGGTTATGGATACACGGATTACGGACTACGGATTACGGATAGAGGATGGCAAATTGCGAGCTGGGAGCGGACGCGTGCTGGCGGGCGAAAACGCTTTTCATAAATGCAATCAAATTGTGCCGACGGTCGCTGCTCTGCTCTGCCCTCTGCCGACTTTGTGGACTCGGCCGTTTGTTGGTGGCTTTTGGGTGGTTGGAGTGAGCCGGAAACAAGTCAAACCAGTTGTCCGCCGCGACGCCGACGTCTCTGCCGACTTCCTTCCTATTTCGGTTAAAGAGCCAGTTTGCCACCTTGTTTGAACCTAACCTACCATAATACCAGCAACCTGCCTCTTCTGGTTGGTCCACCCTTGCGCATTCCGTCCCACTCTGATCGCACATGCGCCTCGTTGCCTCTCGCTCGTGGAAACAGGTTTCAATCTGCCTGCTTATGGGCAGCACTGGTCGGTAATTGTGGCCGGGGGCGTGGTCTCAGCGAACTGCCATTGGTCGGTGGCCAGAGTTTTCCCCCCTCACCATTTGAATCCCAACTTCCAGCTGGCATTTGCGACGACATTTTAAATGGAAAACGTTTTGCTTTTGGGGTTTTTTATTAGACGAGAGCATGAAGAGAATGTATTTTTATTTTGATTGTTTCTATTTTCGGGTTAGCCAAGCGTTTCCACTCTGCCATCTCACTCGCTCCATTACGAACGGCCATGGAAGTGCGAGCAAGCGAGCCAGCTAGAGGGAAAAAGAGATCGAAATCGCCTGCCGACTCTTTCCCGGAAAATGTGCAAATGTGGCAGATTAATAGCACAATTGGAAATAGCGTTCTGTCAGCTTGAGTTCACAAAGCAGCGGATTTCGCAGGGAGGGCCACTCTGGCTCCACTTCCTAATGTCCCCTACCTACTGACTACTCTACAGACTACAGACTACTGACTGCTGACTTCTGAGATCTTTATTAGCACCAAGTGTTCTACGCGCTATCGCTTGGCATTTGGCAGGCGGCGATTGCGATAAGGAGACTCGGGCTCAAACCACATGAATGCAATCCATTTGGCCGGGCCATGAGAATGCAAATTGCCCGGGATGCAGCGGTGGACGCAGCAGCAGCCGCTCTAACATTTTCCACAAGTTCACCCCACGGGTTAATTGACAGTTTTCCTTGGGCACGAGCCATGTTATTGCTTATTGCTGGCCGGGATCTCAGCCTCAGGTGTTGTTCCAGCTGGCCTGGCATCCAAATGCGAATGCCTGGGATGCGTGTGTGGGGCCAAAAGCGATTGCGTACTCATTCTTCATTAGCTGAGATACAGTCAAGATGCGGAATGTGCTATAAGCTAAACCTAAGATGAGGAAAGGTGCTCACTAAAGAAAGACTAGGTAGCTAGCAAAGACTGTCATAGGATTAGCCAACTCTGAAGTTTTACCTTTTAAAGAGATTAAATTACTTTTACAAAGTTTTCGTTGTGTCTGTAAATCGTATTTCTTTATATTTCCTCAGATCGAAATTATTCTCTACCAACATTTTTACATAGTTAGTAACCCGCTACAGACTTAAACTTTTTGTGGTATTTCAAAGATATTATTTCTACAATCAGTGATTATAGCAGATGGAATTTAACGCTCTTAACATTTCCTTAACATTTAAATCCAGAAAAAACAAAAGTTTATAAAGTTCAATATAATCTAACCTTTTATAAAATCCTTGTACTCATAGCTTAAGTAGCTTAACTTTAAGTCTGAGCAAATCAATTACTAAAATAAAAGTAAATTGCCCAAAAGCGGACCGCAATAACCCGCCGTTCACTTAGCATTTTAACCGAGTCCAATCCTAGGCATAACGGTTATAAATATTCATTTTTGCACTTAACTGGCCATGTTTCTGTGTCAGACACGAAAGAAATCATGGCCAAAAATGAAGAAAGGCAATTACTGCATATTCAATTGCCGAGGAACACACAAAAAACACACGCACAGTCAGCCCAGGGAGAAAAGGACTCTGGAAAAAGTCACGAGGCAAACTGCCATTTCTCCTCGTACCGCCATACAATGTCATTGTTGTTGTTGCTGTTGCTGCTGCTGCTGCTGCTGCTGGTAGGCCTTGTAGTCGGCTAATTGGATTTCATTTGAGCAACAACAACAACAACAGCAGCAGCAACGCAGAAAACAATTGCCATAATAAAAGCAACAACAGCGCCTCCATCCACGGCAATTGTAATGCAATTTTAATGCAAAACGAGAGGCGGCCAACATTTTTATTGCATTTTTACTTTTATTTCAGTTAATAGCAGCACAAAAACAACAAGGTAGTCGAGGCATTGGGGGTGGAGGAGATGGTGGTGGTGGTAGTTCTGAAACCAAGATGAGAATGGAGATGATGGTGGGCGGTGGCAGGGTGGTGGAAAATTAGTATGCAGCAGCGCACTGCAGTCGGATGGCAGACACAGCAGCAACAGCAGAGAAAACAGCAACAACCAGAACAGAACTTAACTTAAGTGTAGCTACAAAGGTGCACTGGGAGAAAAAGTTGAGAGTGTTGTTAGGGGAAAACTCTGCACATCAGTGGCTATATTTGAAATATAAGGTTTGCTTTTATATTTCTTTTATGTGTTTAGTTTTCTTACAATTTATTATTATACTTATACTTATTATACTATAATTTGTTTTTAAGTTAAACATATATCTGCTTTAAGTTTTCATTATTATACTGAAATGAAGAACCTTCCATCTTTAAACCTTATAGTATTTACAATTTGCTACAATTGCAGTTTCAGATTTATAAAAAGGCTTTGTTCCTTGCTTGAACATCAAACTCCTTTTAAATTAGGAATGATAAGAATGTACTGATGTTAGACGACATATCCAACCCCTATTATCTGTTGTCATTGCTGTCTTACTTAGCTATTGATATTTTAGCCAGGCAGAACCATTTGGGAATTAAAAGGTTACAGAGGTAAGGAAAACTATTTCAATTTGCCTTGGCTGTTTTCATTTTAATATGTACTTCTTAAAATGTTTAAATTCATTCCCAAAATTAAATCCACTGTAAAGTCTATTGGTTCTACACCAGAGTTATATACTCGTAAGTCCTATGTATAAATATGCTTTATGTTACTCGATTACTTAGCTTAATATGGATCCGGAACATGTTCTTAATAACTCTCTTTTCATTTCTAACAGTGTATGCACTGTAACTGGTGCAGCCTCAGTTTCAGTTGTTGCCAGGACTTGCCACTTGACTTTATTGGCAACTTCATGGAATATTCAGCAGCAAAGTTTTGCGCAAGTGCCTCCGAATAATACCGCCCCAGGAGCCGCTCCTGCTGCTGCTGTTCGAATTCCTGGCAGTGTTGCCAGCTTCATTTGGTATGCATTTTTATTTGGCTCATATACAAATGGCGGAGCATGGCGCGACTTCAGTTCGATGGCGGGGGGTTGGCGATGTGATCCACATTGGTGGGTTGACTGTGGAAGGCGGACGGGGCTGAGCAAGTGTCACTTAAAATGCCAATACTGATTATGGCCACCTCTGGCCCTCCCTTTCTGGCCTCGACCAGCTGTCTCACTTTCTCTCAGGACGGCGCAGCAAGGATTTTATGTGCGGTCAGGGCTTGGCTATTATTGGTGACAGTTTTACCTTTATGCGAATCCCTCTCAAATGCACACATGCCAGGGAATACTTGTGTGAATGCCGAAAATATCGCTAGACATGGTCAGAGATGAGCAAGAGCTACTGAATACCATATTTCTACTTTTATTTACTGTATAACAGAGTATTAAAATTGGATTCACCATAAGACTAAGATATTACAAATGTATATTTTGAAGAATATTCAATACTCTCAACAATTTTCAACCCTTTTAACACTTCTTACATTTCTAGAATAACAATAAACTCTCCTCGCCATCACTGTAACTACTTTCCCAGAATGTGAAGTTCATTTAAGTGATTTCCCTCAACACACACGGAGAGAGTGCTTCCCTCGGCGAAATCAAACTCAAGTTCCTTTCCTAGACCAAGGCCGTCGTGATGGCTCGATTCGACTGAATGCGTGTGTTTTTGTTTTAGCCAATTGGCCACACAATTTGCCAAGCGATAAATTAACGCATCAATAATTGATCAGACTTGTGGCCAAAAGTGTGTGTGTGTGCCTGGTGTAGATATTTTGGCCAATTTCGAGGCGAACGGAGAAAAAAGAACGGCGATTCACGTCTCAGTTAATTTGCCTCAAACTGGGGAACTGTGATTTCTTTCTTTGGATAGTTAAAAACTAAAATTTAAAAGTAGTTAAAATGAAATCTAAGGTTGCATTTAACTAAAGGAAATCCAGATTTTTACTTTTCTCAAACCTTTTTTTTTATCAAACAATACTAGCACGTACGTAGCAATTAAATTACTTTCACTTCCACAATCTGTTCATTCATTTCTAATAAGTTGGTTTTAATATCGTATGACCACTTATGTATAAAAAGGAAAAAAAACGCAAAGCCTTCAAGCTAACGAAACAAAGTTATGATTCCATAATAGAGTACTAAGCCAAATACTAAGCTATTTATTAAAAGTTAAATCAAATGTTATGTAAATACATCTTTACATTCTAATTTTTCCTTAATTTAAAAACTCACTTAAATTAACCCTGGCTATTAATGGAAAATCTCCATTTCCTGAATTTCCCCAAAGAAAACGACACGAGGGTTCTTAAGCAGACAACCATCTTACCTGGATATAACCATAAGGGTGCTTCTAATTAATTTCGCACCCACTCCCACGGCCTCGTTGGCCAAGAAGGAGCTACTGATTTTTATGCAACACACTGTGGCACTTATGTACGCTAATGTAACCATATACAAATGCCTGAGTTCATGTTTGTTGCATGTATATGGGCATTTTTAATAAGTAACTGATTTTTTCCACGCATTTCCTTAGCCGGCGCACTCGGCAAAGGACTTTCCCTCCATGTTCACCCCTGTGTTTCCCCCTTTTCACCCACTCCCGCCATCTCAGTATCCTGGCCAATTTGGTGGGTGCCGTTTTAGCTGTTTTATAAATTAAATATGCCCGCGCGCAATTCCAGTCGAGCAATTCGAGGCTTTGGGCCGCAAACGCAAATTTGGCACAATT